TTTGTTTTGATACAACAAAAAGGCAAGCATTAGATCTTTCTTAGCGAATAAAATTTGTTTGAATTACTATAACAGCCAGACAGAAATTCTATTTGTAATCTGATGGTTGATATTTTACTGCGCAAACATTTTTTTTCTATAATATATGGGATTTATGTAGCAATACTTTCTAGTGCCTCAAGTATATTAGGTACTGTTGAATTTTGAGAGAAAAGGTCGAAATATCCATTCTGTATTTTTCCTTATTCTGGCCTGTATAGTAATGAAATATACTAAGTGACATAAATCTGAACACCCAGTTTAAATGGTTTTATTTTAATAAAAGTTGGTGGATGTATTTATCTTACTGTAAATAACAAGTGAAAAAATTTTCAGCCTTATCAGTTGGACATTCCGGTTTTTATACTGCTTTTTTTTAATTCACTAACGCTCTAAAAATGAATATTTCAGCCGCAGTAAAGAATCAACGTTGGCGGATGTTGGTTCTTGACATCCTTTACGATCGGTTACGATGCCTAGAGTACGGAGACCTGTACGATTTCGTCAACTTAGTGAGTTTGATAGGGGCCGTATAGTGGGACTTCGGGAAGCTGGACTTTCTTTTCGGGCAATTGCAGTTAGAGTGCAAAGAAGTGTAGACACTGTGGTTAGGTGTTGTCAGGCATGGCTTCGAGAAGGCCGTACGCAAAGAGCAAGGGGCACTGGACGCCGCCGTAGAACAACAGACCGTGAAGATCGCCGCCTAAGATTATTGGCCTTAAGGGACCGTTTCTCCACTACCAGGTCCATTGTAAATGAATGGTTTGCAGAACACGGAAGACCAATTGGCATGCGAAGTGTTTACCGACGAATGAGAAGTTTTGGCTTGTTTTCATACCGGCCACACTGGGTCCTCCCTTTAACTCGAGAACACCGACGTAATCGCCTTGAGTGGTGCAGACAACGGTCACTCTGGGATCAGGAATGGAACAGTATTGTCTTTAGTGACGAGTCTCGATTTTGTTTAGGCATGCACGATGGTCGTGCCAGGGTTAGAAGGCGACGTGGTGAAAGGAGGAATCCACAGTTTTTTGATGAAAGACATGTTCATCACACTGTTGGAGTTATGGTTTGGGGTACTATAGCTTATGGTTCCAGGTCACCTTTAATCTTCATCACAGGTAACATGAACGCGCAGCGTTACATCCACGAAGTTGTAGAACCCCATCTTTTACCCTATCTTGGCACCCTGGCAGATCCAACTTTCCAACAAGATAATGCCCGACCACATGTTGCAAGAGTCACAATAGACTTCTTTCAACATAATGATGTCACATTGCTACCATGGCCACCAAGATCTCCCGACTTATCCCCAATTGAGCACGTGTGGGATATGATGGGTAGGAGATTGCTCAATTTGCAACGTCCTCCTCAGACTCTAGAAGCACTTCGAGAGGAGTTGGTGGCTGCCTGGAATGAGATACCACAGGAGGACATTGACCACCTGATCAGAAGCATGCCTAGGCGCGTTGGAGAATGCGTAGCACATCAGAGTGCATCCACACATTATTAAAGGCCAAAGGGCTTTAAAGCAGTGCAATCATTTTGAAATTTTTATCATTTACTTATTATGCTTCATTAAGTACTTAAACAAAATTTTATTAAAATAAAACCATTTAAACTGGGTGTTCGGATTTATATGTCACTTAGTATACCTATACAGGGTGACTTCGAAGTTGAGTCATTTATTTTAACAGTGAGTAGATCTGATCAAAAGAAATGTTTTTTTCCTTTACCATTTTCCTGGTAAAATTAAAGTAACAAAGTTATAGCGCTTTGGAAGTTTGAGTACCGCCCTGTCTCAATAATAATATTATATGGTCGTGTTTGGCGACAACGGATATAATCCGCCGTATCGGTTCATCGCATCGGAAACAAAAAAGCGAAAGAATTTGGAACGTTGTTTTTACAAGTATTTCATTCATTTGTATACAGTCAGTGTTAGTGAATAGTGGTATCTGTTGCGTGGCTCAAACGAAATAAAAAATGGCACATGTTTATGCGGATCGGTTTCCCAATCGAGTGCAACCAACCCCTCGTGCCTTTGTTAATGTAGTACAACGGGCTCATGAATCAGGTGACTTAAGACCTCACAGGGGACCTCACGATCAAATACAGGTCCGCACTGGAATACTTGTCGGGAGGATACTTTATAAAACAAGGTAAACATTTTTTTTAATTTTTTTTTATTTTTACACACACATTTTGGTGTATCTTCCTTCTACAATCATTATCTGAAAATTAATGACTCAACTTTACATACAGGGTGACTTTGAAGTTGAGTCATTAATTTTCAGATAATGATTGTAGAAGGAAGATAAACCAAAATATGTGTGTAAAAATAAAAAAAAATTAAAAAAAAATGTTTACCTTGTTTTATAAAGTATCCTCCCGACAAGTATTTCAGTGCGGACCTGTATTTGATCGTGAGGTCCCCTGTGAGGTCTTAAGTCACCTGATTCACGAGCCCGTTGTACTACATTAACAAAGGCACAAGGGGTTGGTTGCACTCGATTGGGAAACCGATCCGCATAAACATGTGCCATTTTTTATTTCGTTTGAGCCACGCAACAGACACTATTCACACGCGACTGACACTGACTGTATGTAAATTGTACAAATATCGTTCCAAATTCTTTCGCTTTTTTGTTTCCGATGCGATGAACCGGTAAGGCGGATTATATCCGTTGTTGCCAAACACGAGCACATGATATTGAGACAGGGAGGTACTCAAACTTCCAAAGGGCTATAACTTTGTTACTTTAATTTTACCAGAAAAATGGTAAAGGAAAAAAACATTTCTTTCGATCAGATCTACTCACTGTTAAAATAAATGACTCAACTTCGAAGTATATATAAATATGAAATATAAAATTCTATAGAATTGAGGTTTGGAAAACGGACCTCGAGATACAAGAATCAAAAATTAAAATTTTAAAAAGAGAGGGATAGTTCTTTGAAATGTAGACAGCGACAGGGTACTGTTACGAATAAAAAAACTAGTAGGATACCACTGATACAGCAAATCTCCCACGATGAAATAATTCAAAACGAAAATGCTTATCTTAAGTTTCTAAATTTGAATTTGAATATCTCAAGATGAAAGTCACAAAGTGAGATTTTCTACATGAGAGCTAAGACATTAGTCTCTTGTTTGGCTTGGTCGCCGGTCATCTACAGGGTGTCCGAGATAAGGATCCTATGATATTCATTAGGCAAAAGTTACGTTCTTTGGAGCGTTAAGAAACTTATAAAAATTCCATGACTTACTGAGATATTTGGGAAAAACTAAAATTTGAAAGTCATTTTTATTTTTTCCTGACTTATATATCAATATCAAAGAACTAACGAAACTTTTCCATTGGTACCTTTTAGGCACCACTTTTAAACTTTGTGCCCGACATTTCGTTTTTGAAAAACCGTCATCAACTTTATTTTGTTGATATGGTCCGAAAAAAGTACACCCTGTATTTTTTTATACAAATTCAACGATGTATCCCATTTATTTCCTTGGTTATAAGGACAAATTACTTAGACGTTGCAAACAAATGCTTGACTTGACGCAAATACCTGTCACCGAGTATTGTGATTACTGTGTATTGTTGATAGCTTTATTACCGTTAAAGATGTTGACGTGCTACATTTTGTGCTACAAAGATACTAAACATACTGCAAAAATGTATCTTGAGTTTCCCGAAAGAAGACAGCCAAGTAAGTCCGTTTTCTTAGTGTTGACTCGAAATTTAAATGAATATGGTTCATTCAAAAAGCCTGTTACGTATCGAAAAAAGGAATTTTTATAGAAAACTTCTTATGGCCGCCATATTGGATTTTTGAGCAGATGCATAGAGTTTTTACTTCTGATTTCAAAAATATCTCGTATATTAAAAAACAGAAAAGTCTCTAGGTAGGCCTTGAAATTATTAGATTTAATTTGTTTCGTATACCAGAACAGATCTCACATTGAACGTACCAACATAGTTTGGAAGTCTGAAGAGTAGTAATAAATCGAGCAGCGAACAATGTACAGAAAAGAGTCAGACATTGCCTACAAAATTAAATACAGCATTTTCAACATATGCTATGATTTATGATTATTGTTTCTACCCGTACTATCAATAAAATTTCAATTTTATGTTCAGGTTTCACCATACCTTTTTATTTCTTTATAATTTTCATCCAACAACAAATTCATGGCCAACTTAGGCAATGCATCACTGAATTTAGAAATGAATTGTTCATTTAAATGTAAAAAAAATCCTATATAGCGTCCATATGATAAAACAAAGATGGTGGTGGTAGTCGAAAGAAGGAATGTCGAATTGAAAATTTTACTACACCATCTTGTAGACGAGAATTATTAACAAAATAACAACAAGCAATTTCTTTTGAAATACCGTCTCAAATAAAGTCAGGAAAAAATAGAAGTGATTTTGTAATAAATCTTGTATGGAAAACAAATGATTATCTGATAATTTCAATGCCTACCTAGGAAATTCTGCTTTTTTAAATAACAGATTTGCCAATGTCATTGTATGATTATTATACATGGAATTATTATTATTGAAATTCTAATTATGCCTTCTTTTAGAGAAGAAACCCCATTACAAAGTCAGAGAAATATTGAAACGATTTTGGGAACATTCGGTGTTTTCCGTCTCTGTCCGTAAGTACTTTGAATTTCGAAACTTTCTAAGAAGTATTTACTCGTAGTTATTTACCTAAATATGCATCAATGCCTCATTTGAAACACCCTGCATATATTATGAACAAACGTATAATTTTTATATTTCGTTGTTAAAGTTATTTAAAACTGGCATATCAGAAACCCTAAGCTCTACCATACTGCATTTGTTACGATTTTTTTATTTGTTAAGCGTTTATAGATCTTTTTTACGCAGCTTCATTATTTGAGATACCCAATATAGTTATTGAAAATGTAAAAATCATAATATACTCACGAATGTGAACAGTTTCACTAAAGGCGAAATCACATCTACACTATACACTGCACTGTCATTGCAACTAGCCCACGTGAAAGTCTTCACTATATCTGTTAGAGTCACTATAACTAGCGCACCGGTTAAAACAATCTTCGCTAAGTTCCTCCAGTTCCACGGTATATCCCTGTTTTTGCTGTTCAGGATGAAATAGACGTCTAACGGTGATAAGGCCCACAGGAAGATGCAGGGCGCCCAAACAAGGGCGGTTTTCTCGAAACATTTGGTCAGTTCTGGGTCTAAGGTATTCCAGCTGAGGTCGTCATCCTGTAGAAAATAAATAATTATAAAATCACGTGTATAAATTCTAATTTCCCAGTGCTACCCTATTCTTGCACTTTTATTTGCAAATACATCAAGAGAAAGCAATTGCGTGAACCTTATTTTCAAAAATATCGTTTTTCTTAGTGGTTTACTATCGCTATTTAGATATTATAACCATAAATCGTACTCATGGTATTATGAATTCTGTTGAATTTTGCAATATTATTTGTTGTATTACGAGGCTAATTTGGCCTTAAATAGATTGAAATTTTTAGGTCCAGGTCCAGTAGCGTCTCGGGGGCACCTTAGCGCATATTATTGGCAAAGAAATGTACGCCACTGCCTTTTTTGTAACTTAAATATTTGTTGTTTGATTAAGCATCTCTTCTTTATTAATTGACGTATTTTTCGGTATTTCACTTCGTTTCCGAGAAAAACAAATAAAAACCGTTTTATTGCATGTCACTGGCCAAAATTGGTTTATTAATTTTTGCTAAGAGAATCACAAGTGCCTTGGACAACAAAAAATCTTTTCTGCATGGAGGTTTGACATTTGCGCGTCATGTTCTTCTAGAAAAGAATTATACACGTAATTTTCTTTGAGAAATTTCTGTAAAAGGTTTTTGTCTCGGTTTTTGAGCAAATGGCAGACATGCATGTAAGGTATGCACGTGCTTATACGAGCCCCTTCCCACTTCAGTTGGCCCAACTATTGAAATCTTAGTTTTTTCCTTATCAAACACAAATAATAAAAATGTAGCAGGGTGTCATAGGTTTAAAATATTAACAATGAATCTTTTGATAATATATAGTAGAAAACACCAACTTTATCACTCCCTAATCAAATTTGCAGCATAAAAATAACACATGTTGCAATTACAGCATATCAACACATTTTCATTTCAATGCAAAATAAGTCTATAACGCATAGGTGGCTGTGAAAAAATAAAAGCCATGACAATTGTTTTTGTTAATCACAGCTGTCATAATACATTTAAAATAGTTTTGGGTAGTTAAGGTTTTCAAAATGGGTAGAGGAAAGGTTATTAGTGAGAAAATTCGGCTACTGATAATTAAATTTTTTAATTCTGGGAAATCAAACACAGAATTTGCAACGTTGTTAGACTTATCGCGGTACAGTGTGAGAAATATGGTTAGAAGATATAAAGTAACTGGTTCAGTTAATATTAAGCCACGATATGTGAAAAAAAGTAATATCACAAATGCCGACCGAAGAGCATTAAGAAGAATAATCGTGAAAAACAGGCGTGCCAATTATTTACAATTAAGTGCTCTGTGGAGTGACGCTGTTGGAAGGAGAATTTCGAGGTCCACAACTCATAGAGAGGCCCACAAAGTGGGATTTAGCACTTGCAAGGTAAGTTTTGTTATAAAAAAGTGAAGTAAAAACCCTAAAGTTGCACAACTTGTTTATACGCCAAAGAAAACCCACTATTAACTCCACTGTAAAAGAAAAGTCGTCTTCGATGGGTTAAAGAACATAGACAATGGACACCTTAACAATGGTGTGATGAGGCCCGATTCGAACTTTGTGTTGATGACAGTCGCAGTAGAGTTATTCGCAAAAAAAATGAAGCATTCCATGTTGACTGTCTGAAGAGAAAAGTGAAATTTCCTGAATCCATTATGGTCTGGGGAAGAATGTCATCAAAAGGAGTAGTAAAACTTCATTTTATTGATGGAAATGTGGATACAAACAGATATTTGGCAATTTTAGAAGAATCGCTTTTACCAGTGATGGAAGAATGTTTGACATCCGGCCAAGACTTTGTATTTCAGCAAGATGGTGCAGCGTGCCATACCTCAAAAAAGGCTATACAATGGATGGAAGAAAATAATGTACCACTTTTGAAATGGGTTTCTAGCAGTCCAGATCTGTCACCTATTGAAACTTTGTGGCACGAGATGAAAAAGGTTCTACGACAACATCCTGCTCGTACAATCACCGAACTGAGACAAAAGCATCAAGAAATATGGGATTGTTTTACACCAAATTTTTGCCAAAACTTGGTTAACACTAGAAGTAAATAGTTTCGTCATGTTAAGTTTATAAAGGCATATTTTGGTACAAATCTTGAAGTGGGCCAACTGAAGTGGGAAGGGGCTCGTGGTAATAGGCAACCTAGGCTCCGACACACCAAGCTGCTATTCCTTTAACAACTAGCCAATCCTCACACGGTGAGTAGACGGAGAAGACCCAGGATTTTCTTTTAGACTGAAGCAGCCGCGCAGGCAGAAACCTAAATGCCGGACACCCAGGCTGCTATGATGATCCCGAAGAAATTTTGTTAATCCGATTTTTGGATGTACGAAGTTCGATACGGTTAGGATGGGAGGCAAAAGTCAGGCGGCATCATGGAAGAGAGCTCTGAGGAGCAAAGCCCGTTGGTGTAGCGGTACAAGAGAGCTAAACTAATTGATCTTGTTAGCTATCAGATAATTAGTTAATTTTTTTAAGTTAATTAATTTTTTTCTCAAACGAAATTAAAAGTGAAAGTGCCCTGCCTCCACTACTGAAGTGGCATTTTAAGGTAATTCTGATCATCCACGAATGAAGGGTATAACTGTTTTTATCAAACATTTTTATTTTTTTAAATTTACCTTTTCTACATAAGCTAAATTACCTAGGTACAGGTACATGGTTTGCTAGTTTCAAGCAAATTATTTTAATAGTATATTACTTTTCTGATTCCAGAAAATTCAGTTTAATTAAACCGAATAATTTGATTACTTATGGCCCTCTGTCACGATACGAAATTTTGTCCAAATTTTCGAACATAATTAAGAATATTATCAGATAGCATGAACAAATTGAGTGCTAAATTTTTATAACCTATTTTAAATAATATCATGCTAAAAGATCGCCCTACTGGGCATTTGGAGCAGTACAATGGCGGATAGAAGCGCTACGTGTCAAGGAATTTATAACTCCTTGATATTCTCTTGATGTTTTGTGATGGTCAGATGAGATGGTAATTGTATGACAAGAATAATAACTTTCATCAGTTGTTGTGATCAGTTGTGTTCTTCAGATTCGCGAAACTCCCCTGCTTATGATGTATGGTGTTCTACACTTAGATAGAAAACTTAAAAGATGTCATGATCAAAAGAGCAGTGTGACACTTTAAACGAGTATGAAAAATATGATTGTTTATATGCTGTAAAAAGCAAGCCTATAAAAACAGAAACGTCAAATAAGCTGCGTGGATAAAGTCAGAATGACTTTAGCACCAGCTAGGCTTATAAGCTAGTGAATCTTCCACTAGAAGTGCTTTATTCAGCTTCTGGAGCACACTCATTCCTCGGTCCTTCTACCTGATCCATTTTCGATACCAAATCTTTTACGTTACTTCGTTTTTTCATGAGGTGGGCAGCTACAACACAGGTCGCTGGCGATCGCTTCATTTTATACAATTTTCTATTATTTTAGAGTAATAAAGAAGCAAGCCGCAACGAAAAGTGTGGTTAGTAAAACTTTGACGTGATGAATGGAAGTTTACAGTTGACAATTATAGTTTTTTTTTATCGCCTGCGCATGATTTCGTATATAAGTATTTATGGCATAGTAATTTGCTTTCTGCTTAATTTGAGTGTAGATAGAAGGAGCGAATTTTGGAAATTAACATCTATTAGAGACGAAAAACATTTGTTTTTTATTTTCTGGGGCAAGCTCGATGTTTTAAACAAATAATAGTTATTTATTATACAAGCGAGAAAATACAACCTGAATTTAAAATCTAGTAATTTTCGTCTTGTATAATAAATAGTTATTTAGCGGAGGAAGACAAAAAACGAAAGCTAAAATCTAGTCTTTTTCCCGTGTATAATACACAAAATTTGTTGTGACTGGTAAAAGGGCGATTTAATATTGAAAAATTAGATCATTACAATATTTAAGTCAGAATATTATCAATGTGAAATTTGAATTTTGAAATTAGTAGGCTATGTTGTACTTATAGCGACATTAGACCTGCGTTGCTAAGGAAACTCTTAGAGTAATCAAATAGCTGTCAATTAAATTTTGTTATTTGATTTAAAAATGGTGAACTTAGTGGTTGTTTAGAAGTTATTTTTAATACTATAAAGTGAAAAATGTCTGACTCCGAGTTTTCTTTGAGTCTACCGGAATTAGTAGAAGTCGCCAAGGTAGCGTCACAAAAATTATTTCCAGCCAAATCGCGGATTTCGACTGTTGTACCCACAGACTACTAAAGTCTTAGTAGTCTGTGGTTGTACCGAATAGTTTGAGGAACGTATCATTCATGCAATGCACATTTAATAATTGTACTTTTGATATAAAGGAAACATAACTTTATTGTATAATAAAATATTCTAAAATCAAATATCTACCTTTGCTTATGTGTATACAGGATGGCCCATCCATGTGTGGACGAAATATTACTCATAAACAAATACATTTTGGGGAAATCTATTTATGGCATGTTATACATGACATTTGAGGGCACATTTCCAAAATATTTTCAATTATACTGAGCGTCCCAATTTTGACCTACATATTGAAGCTGTACTTTTTTGAATGGAAAGCATTACATTTGATTGCATATTTGGATAAACCAATTCAAAAGAAGAAGATTGATATAACATACTATGGGGTTTTGGTGATTAGCTACCGAGATGTAAGGAGTTTTGTCCAGAAAAACCTTCCACTTCGGCAACACCTCAATCCGCCATTTTGAAATTTGGAGTGCTGAATTTTCTATCAAAAAAAGACTTGCACACCTCAGCTTTTACCTTATTTCTTACTTTTTCGAATTATAATTTTTGCTCTTACAGGGTGGTCAAAAACGCAAATTGTAGTTTTTCTCAAAAATTTCAAATGCATCATTCTGTATATTTGTGCAAGTTTGGATTCAATTTTTTATAAGCTTTTATTGATACTAGACAAAAGGGTTTTTTTTTTTTTTTTTTTTTTTTTTTTTTTATTTACATAAGCTGCATCAGCTAATTAGCTATTAGCAGCG